AGTGGGGGGCAGGGCCTGTGGCAGAGCCAGGGGGTTGAGCAGTGAGCACCCCCCGGCACATTGGAAAGTTGGCACCTGTAGCTCCAGCCCTGCCTATACAAGGAGCCGCATATTAACTTCTGAAGAGCTGCATGTGGCTCCGGAGCCACAGGTTGGCCACCCTGACATTGACCATCCGCAGGCACAGCCCCCCACAGCTCCCAGTGGCCGTGGTTTACCGTTCCCAGCCAATGGGAGCTGTGGGATGGGCCGTGTACTGAAGGTTGCAGACCCCTGTGAAAAACCGTTTAGCATGGTCCAGGAATATCCCCCCTGCCTAAACTCTTTGAAAATACCTGATGTGGTGCTCTTCAGTTTGGTGTTTTATGAGCCCAAGGCACAGATGTGTTAACAGTATCCAGAGATGATGTAAACTAAGATAACCATCTCAACACCCCCCCTTCAATTTGATGGCAGAATAGTAACAAGGGCTTGTGCCCCCCCTCTCTGGGGAGGGGCAGAGTAGCAGCAATCACTCTCCTAGCCTGAGGGAGGAGTAGCAGGGAAGAAAGGAAGCTCCTTCTCCTTGCCAGAAGCCAGGAAGAAAGGAAAGTGCGGACTTAAATTTATCAGCCTGTGAAGGTCTAATATGACAAATGAAGGCCCCAGACAGGTACATGGGCAGCACCAGAGTATGAATTCCAGAACTCTTTGCCTTTATTACATTGAAAAAAGGGAAAGGGTGGGAGAGGTTAACTAGGGCATCACCCATGGATCGCTCAACACTTCCCAGCCCCATATCTTTCATATCAGCCTCTAGCTAGTCGGGGTGACACACATTTTTTAAGCCTGGGACATATGTAATATTTTGTATTATTGCAGAGATCTGCTGTGACCCTATAACATTGCCCACACGTAGGGTGACTAGATGTCCCGTTTTTTATAGGGACAGTCCAGTTTGTTGGGACTTTTTCTTATATAGGTGCCTATTACCCTCCCACCCCCTGTCCCATTTTTTCACAGTTGCTAGCTGGTCACCCTACTCACACGTGATGGGACAGTTTTAATATTGCTATGGGAACCTTCACTTTCAGTCATGCAAGTCAGAATATTCAATCATCAAAAGATGAGAAAAACCGTGTTAAAGCTGGACCAAAAATCTCACTGATGAGATAATTTAAAAAACAGCATCAAAGTAGGTTTGTTTGTTTGTTTGTTAGTAAATGTGAAGTAATTTTTTTCTTCTGATGTTCACTACCAGCCCTTGGAAACATGAAACCGAAACCTGTTTCCTTATCAAAGTTTCCTCAATTGTGTGCATACACTGATTTGTTTTTGTGGGGTTGCTTATTATAAGTAATTAGCAGCTAGCATTGAAGCATTATTTTAAAGAAAAAGAGTTACAGAAAAAGCTAGCAGTAGTTCCCACTGACTTTGATACCTTGAAGCTTATATATTGGGCTGAGGAGCATAAAAGCACCTACTTCACACTGTAATATGTTTTTTTATATATAAATCTATTAAAGATAGAACTGGAAATTCATCCCTGATATAACTATTGAAGGAAAGCCACAGTATGAATGGGGCATGAATTCAGCCCATATATTTTTCTTTCATTAAGTTTCCAGGACAGATGATAAGAAAATGGAAGAACAAGTAGTTAAGACTTGACAGTACAAAATTTAAGTACCAACTGCATTTTCTTTAAGTTACAGTGGGAAAATACCTTTCTATTGTAAATAGCTGACAAGCATGTCTTGTATGTGCACTGTAAGCCTACCTCTATAAGAGATAGTTCAAGGCTAAAGTTCTGCACAAATATATTAACCCAGTAATAAATTTAAGTGCATGCAGGGTATTTGCTGAGTCGTGCGTGATCTAATAATGTTGGCTGTGAAGAGTACCCTATTAAATTACAGTCAAAGGCACAAATAAGAGATGGTGAAACCCAATTCACTGAAGTGATAAGAGAACTGAAACAAAACAAACAAAAATATGGCAACAAAATGTTTCTCCATTCAAAAGACAAGCCACTAACGCAGACAAATATTTTCTGCAAACCAAATCACAAGGCGCTTTTACTCAGGCCCAATCCAGTGAGGTCCTTAGTGCCTTCAGGTCCCATTGAAATCAATGGAAGTTGAAGGATTTGGTACTTTGCTGGTATGGGACCTGGGTGCAGGGACACCATCTTCATTGAATAATACACACAAGGGTAAACATTTTTTTTTAAATTCCTATACACGAGACTGTCTCAAAACTCTACTTCCACCCACAGGTGGATGGCGTTCCAAACTTTTCTCCATTGACTGCTCTTGTTCAAATGGCTGCACTAACAGAACATAGTGCCACTCAGGGCCGGCTCCAGGCACCAGCTTCTCAAGCAGGTGCTTGGGGCGGCCGCTTGGGAGAGGGGCGGCAGGTCCAGGTATTCGGCGGCAATTCGGCGGACGGTCCCTCACTCCGGCTCGGAGTGAAGGACCTCCCGCCGAATTGCCGCCGCAGATTGCGATCGCGGCCGCGGCTTTTTTTGTTGTTGTTGTTGTTTTTGGCTGCTTGGGGCGGCCAAAACCCTGGAGCCGGCCCTGGTGCCACTAACACCAAAGATAATGCAATGGTGGCCCTGGTCATAGACACATGGACAGGCTAGCAAGAAGCCATCTGTATAGACTTACTTTGTAAACAATTTTATAGAAAAAAATGGGTAACTCTTTTTATAAGTTTCTTTCTAACACAGAAACTCAAACTCCAGGACAGTTTCTAATTCTTATCTAAAACCTTAGAGCCACACTATGGATTTCAGTGTGCACCTTGCACATCCATTGCCTTTCATTGAGAGTTGTGCATGTGTATGTGAGGGCAGAATTTAGTTCTTAAAAGTTTAATGCAACTTTTTGTGAACAAGGAGCTATACTACAGAAAGCATCCTTGGAAGTTGATTTTAAAGCAGCCACCCTCCCACACATGTGATAATAGACCACTTTCAACAGAACTGATGACAAAGATGCCAATTCTGCCTGGCTATTTCTTAAGACAATAAATGGGCTGATTCAGAATTTTAAGATATAGTTATTATTTAAAAGAAGACTCTGAAGGCAGATGTGAATTTATAAAGGCACCATGTCATCTAAGGCAGTTTTTCTGCCCTCCATATGAGAGTTCAGCGCAGCAAAGCTGGGGATTTACTCATCTCTCTGTGGCAGAAAGAATTACTCCTCTCTTCCCGCCCCCCCCCCCGACAAATGTCATCCAACACACCTGACATCTGTTTAAGACTGCAGAACAAGCTGTTTCTTTTGGAGTGTAAGAAACTCAAATATGCTTTTAAAGACTCAAAAGCCCAGTGACAAAGCCAGGCTCTCTAGTGGCACAGAGAACATAACCATGTAAGTTACTGAATTTCTCTCCAAGTTCCTAACAGCTTTACTGCCAGCATCTTACCTCTTAGTACCGACTTAAGGTTCAGCTTGGCTTGGCGATGCAGATCCTCCACACAAGGTGGCCTCGTGGAGGGCAGGAACACATTTTCCTGCTGGTGCCAGGGAGCAGTATAATGGACTGTCCATCTACTTTCTTCATCTAGGTTGGAGACAGCTGCAAAGAAAGAGAGAGAGAATGTAATGCACAAATTAAATGCAGCTGAATGAGGACTATGAATAAATGGTGGGGAGGAGTGGGAACTGAGGATACTAATATAAAAACAGACTGGGGCTCTTCAGATTTCACATTGGTATAAATCAGAAGCAACTCCATTGACATTAATAAGATGACACTGGCTTTACACCATTATGAGTGAGAGAAGAGTCTGGCTCACTGCCTTTACACATCACAGCATCACACATCGGTCACATACTGGCCAGGCCACAATAGCAACTTGGCAGGATCCCAATGGCCACACCTAACTTGCCAATACATTTGAATAAAAATATATTAAAATAAAGCACTTCTCAAGTTCAAAACTCTTTAAAAACATTATCTAGTAATAAATCAACTACTTAATTAACAAAAGTACACCACCATAATATTTACTTATAATTTATCTTCCCTGAGAGGTAGACATTACTTGTTATCTAAAGTTTGCTATCAACATAAACGTTTGTGGTTGAACAGTCTTACCCCTCACTCTGTAGGGACAGGAAAAGGGCAGCTGGGGTATCACCCCTCTAGCAGCATTTGCCTTTCAGAGCATATGCTGTGCATCCAAATCTCCAAAGCAAAAAACTACAGCTGTGCCTGTCTCCCGAACACCTGTTATGCTGACTCGACCAAGCTGTGCTGGTCACCTACCTGTTCTCCATTCTCTTGTCCCTGTTTCTGAGTTTTCATTACCTCTCATTTGTTGCAGTTGGGAATAGCATTTAAATCATGCCGCTCCTACTACAGTATATATCGCAGCCCACCTAGCATTATATCATTATTAAGCATTAGAAATGTAATGTCTTGTATAATGGCAGAGGAGCTGTACAGGCTATGAAGAACAGGGTGAAGGTGACAGCTTCCTTACATCTGAAAAATGACAGATTTCATCACAGCACACTGCCTAGAAGAATAATTTCAATTGTAAAATAATTGCATTGATTAGTTAAAACAAAATAAAGGAACTCACAAATTAATTTCAGAATCTCGATACAAAAGTAGGCTACAAGAAATGCAGTAAAAGGGGACTCATTTTTGGAGGCTTTTAACTGAATTTCGTTGTGGTTTTCTGTCAGATCTTTTAATAAATGCTTTCATAATATTTTGTTGGAACGTTCATTTGCTCATACATTTGCTTGGCCATGTGGCCCGGCCCCTCCCCTCTTCTACCTACTTTCATTGTACTGGATGTGATAGAAAACACCTCATGCAGCAGGGCAGACAATGCTGAGGGGTGTATGGCTGCATTCTCTGTCCTTGCTAATCAGAGGTCAAATCCAAATGATAACAAACAGACAAGTCACTTATTATCTGATCACAATATCAATCATCCTAGAATTATAGGAAACAAAAGGTACATTGTCTGACTGACTTACCAGGAAAGAACCCCTACCCCTGGCATTCACCTTACAAAATAAGCAAAGAAGACACACACCAGCCATATTACTGCCTCGCTCTACTCAATGCCATACTAAGAGCAGTCTATTGCTTATCTAGAGCATAATTAAAACCACCAAGACATGCTACACATACTCAGACGGACAGATCAAACTCAACAAGTCTGTCTCAATGGATTAAATCTCAACAGCTAAATATGCACGTAAATCAAGTATCTCAATGATTTTTTAAAAAGTTTATGACTACAATGATATTACACAATGAAACAGCACCACAAATTTCTGCACAAGTTCAGCAGCTGTACAGCTGGGGCTACCAGAAGATGTTAGAGTAATACCTTGGCATACAATGATGATATATACACAGAGCAGCAAGTTACACCAAGAGGCTTTCAAATCTCATAATCAAACAGCTTACATTAAATGAAAAAGTTTTGCTTCTTCAAAGCCATTTAGAGCAGTGCTTCTCAAACTTTTGTACTGGTGACCCCTTTCACATAGCAAGCCACCGGGTGCAACCCCCCCTTATAAATAAAAAACACTTTGTAATATATTTAACACCATTATAAATTCTGGAGGCAAAGCAGGGTTTAGGGTGGAGGCTGACAGCTCGCGACCCCCCATGTAATAACTTCGTGACCCCCTGAGGGGTCCCAACACCCAGTTTGAGAACCCCTGATCTAGAGGGACAAAGGAAATCAAAGTAAGTTAACACTCACTCACTCTCTTACAAAGAAGCAGATGCTCAGGAACGCTGCCTCTGCACATTTTGAAACAGGCAGTGAAAGAGAAATGTACAGATTTTCCAATAAAGGTTTCTAGAAGGTATATACTGAGCTTGCCTACCAAAATTCCCACACTTTCCAGAAAGAAAACTTGCATGCACACAACTACTTACTCTTCTTCTTGAAAAGTTTAATTAAAGATTTCAGCTTTGTGTTGATGAACACCACCATTTCCAAAGTGTCTATCTGTGGTCCTGGAGTTTAGATCCCATAGAAAACAGGAGCAACAAGCAGGTGGCTGGTTTTCAATTTGTACTTGCCAAAGCTCTGCAAACCCTACTAACTTTGTCTCTTCCTACACTCCTTCTCCCACCCCCACCCCCCGCCTCGTTTTGCACAACGGTGAGGTTGGCCTTATTGTCCTGGCAGTTAGAAACCATTAACAATCCTTGAACCTGAACGCCTCCTTCTGAAACATAATCCTGGGGGCTGAGAGCAGCTAGTTACAACTTGTGAAGGAAGGAAAAAAGAAAGCCAATCGTTCATATTTGCATTGAACCAAGATCAGGCTTTTTAACTCAATGCTCATTCATCCAGTTCACTCCCCAGCAAATCAACAGTTTTCTTCTCCTGGTTTCACTCCACCACAAACAGTGAGAATTGTAGATAATTTCCGTTTTCACTGCTCTAACTGGATCTTCCAAAATCATTTACAGTGTAGCAGAGAGAAGAGTGGATACTTTCATGTCCCTCCTTTGTATAGCCCAGGCTACTTGTGAGTGTATGGAATTTGAACTGGCTGGGACAGTGAGGCTTTCAACTATTGTTTCCCAAACACGCCCCCAATCCCTTCCTCCTATTCCATAGGCAACATTTATGAGCAGCAAGGCTCTACAACTGAATCTCCATGGAGCTGTAACTGAGGGCTGCATTCTCGTGTAAATCAGGATGCCCTTCTTTCCCACCTCTCTTCTCTTCCCCGCCCCCCTTTCTTAATGTCCCAAGACTTGCATTTTAATTGTCCCCATCACAGAATTTTTCTTTGCATTTCCTTGCTCTCAAAATACTTCCTCCCCGCCCTTTACAATTACAATAATGGAAACAGCCCAGCAATCTTACATGTTGAATTTCATTCAGTCACATGCTGAGCTGTCCTGATTAGGATCAACTTGGAAACTCCATTAACAAAATTAATAGTAAGCTAATCAAACGATTTCTGTTTAATAAAGAAACTAATATTCAACAAATGACACCAGTACAAGAGCCTGACCCGAAAAGCCTTTTTGAAATACACTTTAACTTCATGACTTTAAATATTCCTGTACATAAGCACATCTACTTTTCTATTTAGACATGAATTACTATTTTAAAGAGAAAATGCTAAGTACCCCATCAATCCGCTCAGCAGGGCATGCCCCTCACACAATGCTAAGATTCAAGAAGCAAGTCCTCCTTTACAAAGCAAGACTCTGCAACTGCCTTGGGTTAACAATGAAAGGGTTTTTCTTTGGGGGGGGGGGGGAAATAGCAGCAGCAGGGGTCTTAGTCTGCCCCAAAAGCTGCCACAAGTTCTAGCCTTCACAGTGCAGCATGCAGAAGCAGGTGTTCTTGAGAAGCATCCAATTCCCAGCCCTGCTGGTTTATCTCAGAATCACAACTGTGCAGAATGGAAGCGATAATATTTTAAATTCATACATTGCCTCTCAGCTGAAAGGGCCCATAGCGCTTTACAAACCACAAGTGTTTAAAATCACAGCCACCCTTGGGGGCAGGTCCCAGAGGCACTCTGTCCAGCTCAGAGGCACTCTGTCAGAAGGAGGCGCTCTGTCTGGCTCACCACTGAGGCAGTCAGCACATCCTGGAAGAGAACACACCAGAGTGGCAAGTGCTTCAGTGCTTGAAAAGATGCAGCATGCTTTTCCCCCAGGCTGGCACACAGCTGATGCAAAAAAGGGCCGGATGTGGCCTTGAACTTTTTCAGCCTCTCTTTGGGGAATGTAGCACTTCCAGTGATACTATGACTTCCCCAATATCCCCTTGCGTCTAGGGTGACCAGACAGCAAGTGTGAAAAATCGGGACAGGGGTGGGAGGTAATAGGAGCCTATATAAGAAAAAGACCCAAAAATCAGGACTGTCCCTATAAAATTGGGACATCTGGTTACCCTACTTGCGTCCCAGACGTGCAAGGACAGGGACTGAGGCTTCCCCTTGTGTACATGAAAGGTGCCCTCCACCCTTGCTCACCTGTGCAGTGCCAGCCACCTTCTAGCCCTACACAAATAACCACCACTAGAAATGCAGCTACCTAAGGGTTGGGGGCAAGAGTCGGACAGACAACCAGCATATAGCCCATTTGAAGCAGGTGAACCTCTACCGTTACGAGTTCCACATCCTCGGTTGTCAAGGTACTGATAAACTGCATGTTACTTATTTTACCTACCATGGAAGGATGAAGGGACTGAGCAAACTTTCTGGGACATTTCCAGTCTCTAGTCATCCTTGGAAGCAAGATTCTGAACCTTTTCCACAAATCTTGACCTTCAAAATGACAACACAGGGGCTGACCCATAGTTAGGATGCGAGCCTGGACTTGGGAGAGACAGGGTTCAATTCCCTAATCTGCCATAGACTTCTTGTGTGACCCATAGTTAGGATGCGAGCCTGGACTTGGGAGAGACAGGGTTCAATTCCCTAACCTGCCATAGACTTCTTGTGTGACCTTGGGCTAGTCACTTAGGGCAGGTCTACACTAACCCCCCAATTCGAACTAAGGTACGCAACTTCAGCTACATGAATAACGTAGCTGAAGTTCGAAGTACCTTAGTTCGAACTTAC